TGGCCTTAGTACTACTGGATCCCCAAGAGTACTTCTTTATATTGATCCAGAATCCAATTATCTTCTACAAATTTGCACAAAACCAGTAAGGATGTAACAGCAGGACAACAGCCTTTGTTAAAAGTAATGATTTACATTATCTTTGCATCTTTTAAATCATAATCCTTTCCTTTTCTTAAATTTTTATGTACGTTTTGACTTATGTGGTTATCTTGATTTACACAGGGAACACTATGGGACTGTGTCTAAAAGATGCCACATGAATTATGAGGTTATGTAAAATATTGCATAATTTAATACAAAAACCCCCCAAAGGTTTGTTTTGAAGTTTTAAAGAGAGATGTGTCTTAATCTCCTTAACTATAACAAAAATTTTTTGCACTTGGAATTTCTCACCCTTAGAACTGAGAAGTTTACTAGCCAAAAAGTGAAAATCTCAGAAATACCACTGATATTATCTGATCTCTGTTCCTTGGCTGTGGTGTACTGAGTCCTCTCTGTGAATAATAAAAAGAGCAGTTGGGAAATTCTTTTATGTCTTCAGGAACAATAGCCAGCCCCAGGCTCTGAGCGTCCACCCTGCATTTTATTTCTGCATAATTTATCTTTCCCAGCAAAAACATCCTAGCGCTGGGACTAACTCTTCCATTTCTGAATGAATTCTTTCCAGTAAGAAAGGAAGCATTTTTATTCTGGTGATACAATTGTACATCTATTTCTGAAATAAAGTGGTGTTTTCAAAAACAAAAAAATTATGTCACTTTATATAATTTAAATTCAGCCTTTAACTTCCATAGTCTCATTATTAAATTGCAATTCCAGAGAGATCACCATGCTTTAATTTTCCCTGGCCGGCTCTACATACTTCTTAAAAGAGAGTTTTGAATAAACTCTTTTTTTTGACTGCATTGCCGGATCCAGTCTATAAATCTAACTCAAAATAAAATTACCTTCTTACTTAGTGGGCAATAATTCTATTGACTGTAATTTTTATTTTAAGAATAATTCTCAACCTAACTAAACAAAAAAAAAAAAAAAAAGAATTTTTTTTTAAGAGATGGAAGAACAATTTGATGGCATCAAATCTGCAGTCTGGATCACTGCAAATGGCCCTGCTTCTGGATGAAATGGTATTCCATCAAAAAACCCAACTGCTATTATGACTAAATGCCTACCTACTTTGTAGTAGAGGCAACAATCACAATGAACAACTCACTGGCCAGTGGAATATTGTTGAATAAACAATTTAGTGCAAGGCCTGTGGCTAAATACAGCTCTTGAAGAGACTAAAGGATTGGAAGGCTGCCTTTCCCCATGACAGCTATTTTGCTCTTGGTCTAATGCATGTGCCTAACCCCCTGGGAAAAACTGGACAACATTCAACGTGCCCAGACTATACCAGGCAATTAAAAAAATTTAAAAAAAGAGAGATTAAATCAGCATTTTAACACTTTCAAAAATGAATCCATCCCTTCAAGCCAATCACACCACACAGTAATTATTTCTTCCACAGATGGGCACCACCACCATTACATGTAGAGACATAAAGAATTTAGTCTTCAGATTCCAGAAACCTCTGATTTTTAAAGTGGGAAATTTGCCAGAACTAGCAGGCTTATTCAAAATAAAGACATTTTCTCTTGATGAGCAACGCAACTAGAATCAGTAATGATTCTTGTGTTGCCAACTGATTTGATATTTACTTCAGAGATAAGTATTAGTACAGTGTAAAAACATTTCACTTCTTTCAGAAAGCTAAGCACTGCATTTGAAAATTTGTTCTCAAAAGCTCTGAGCGATGCAAACCTCATTTTGCTGTCTTCCATTGTTCATATTTTGCTTTCTACACCTTCAAGAGAAAAAAACCCAAGCGTTACCCATTAGAGGGATGGATACTGGCCTGGCTTGGCTACATCAGGAAACTGTCCCCTGCAGAACACGAGGGGCCACTTCATCCTCCCTGCTCTCCTCTCAGCATATACAAACCCAGTGTAGAAGAGCTCAGAGTGCACAGGGTAAGCATCCACACCATCTGTCTTCATGCCAATTTGAAACCAAGATTACAGACATTTTCAAATTATCTAGTCATTATTTTTCTTTATATCCCAACATTTTAGTTGAATAAACCAATCAGAAATGGGATTGCCACTGATAGATTATGAATGAAGAACCATTAAAGCACTTAAAAAAGCAACAACTATTATTTAGTCCTTCAAGATTTTGATTCTTGACTGGATAGAGTTTCCAGAAGTCTTCATAATATTTATGTACACTATTGATCAGCCTTTCCATGCAGACTCCATGAAATCAGGAAAATAGAAAAGTTTTGTTTCAGCCCATATTTTTTCCATAAAATCACTGTTCTTTTGTAGAAAAAAGTTCTCATCAAGTAGTAGTGTTGTGAGAGGAGCACAGAATATAGTTGTTGTATACAATAAGGTTGTAGCAAAAAAAGGAAAGTGTTTTACATCTTTTTTTTAAATTTTTATTCCTAAAAAAAAAGGGAATCTGGTTTGTCACAAAGCTAAGAGAAATTTAGATTTTTAGCTTTGCAAAGTTAGCTTGATTACTTCAACATCTCTCATAGGTGACTGTGACAGAAAAACAAGACACAATCACCAGTGAAAATGGAGAAGACCACTCTGAAAACATGTTAATGATAATCTGTTTAAAAAATATAAAATTCAGTATGTAGGCTATTAGTTATTTGTTGCGAAAAAGTCTGAATAATTTTTAAAAGGGAACTGCTACAGGACTTCCAACTGCTTCATTTTCTTTCATGGAGGCTCACAAATATGTGGCAACACAGTGACTTTTGGAAAAACTAGCTTTTCATCCCCCAGAGCACAATGAGGCCTAGGTAACAGCACGACAAGTCTCTCTGCAGACTAAATTTGTTTTAATTAGGCTTCACAGTGCTGTTACGTAGGACCCATCTCTAAGAATGAAAAGGGTAGCGCAGTCTCCAGCACCCATCAAACCCTTCATTCCTCACCCAAGAATACCAAATGAAGAGGTGGTTACATTGGTTACTCCACATCAAATGAGCTGAGATCACCAGCTCATTTCTTAAAGACCAGGGAAGAGGTGCTTTAGTTTAAAATAAGAAGGAAAGTAATGAATATAAAGTTTAGCCCAAGAACCCAAAGACAGAAGAGATTCTCCTTTCAGGAGTTCCTGTTGTGACTTATTTAAAAGAAATCTTATCTGCCTTCTGGAGCACATGTCAATGCTATGGATTTCACATGTGACCCACCAGCATCTCAAGACAGCATTTACCCTTTGATATCTAAATTCTTACCAAATCTAATATTTGTCAACTTTGTCTCATGGTAATTGTTAGTTCATATCTATTAATCCATTTGTAATTAGGAGAAAATTTCAATCAGAATTCTTAATCCAGGACTGAAAGAATTTTTTAAATCATGAAGAAAATCAAAGCTTAAAACCAGTTTGTGTAACTAGATCTAGAATTTATTACTCCTGAGAGAACAAAGATACAAAATACATGTGAAAACTACACAAAGATTTCTACAAAGTAAAAAGTAGAAAGTGGGAAAAGGGAAAGCTACAGCTCAGTGGTTACACAGAAATGTATGGCATGCATTAAAATATTGTCAATTCACTACTTTTTTTAAGTGCAAATGGTTTTTTTTAACAGTTCTCACTGAAAAATATGCAAATTGATACCTATGTTGTACACTTGTCATATATTATCAGAAAGACACCAACACAAATCTATGCATATATACATCAACAAGTCTGAAGTACATTTTGTGGTTCTGTTATTCGTAGGCACTGGTTACAAGTCCGTCCAATACTCAGTTTCAGAAATTAAGTGGTAGCTTATAGAACATTTCTCAAATACTACTAATAGAAGAATTTGTTTTTAAAATACCAAGAGGATGAAATCATTTGCATTGCCGTTTATAAGCATCCAACAGCCAAAGAAGTATTTACAAATCATCAACCATACAGATAAAGAACAGTATCAAATACTCTGTGTAAAAAGATAAATAATTAAAATGTATATTCCCACATCACAAAGAAATGTGATCATACAAATTATGGCACCATATGTTTGTGAAACATCAAAAATAAATGTAGCACATAGATAACTCTTCTTATACTTTACATTAAAATGTACAGTACAGTGACTGTAAAATGTCAATGTCATGACACCCATCGTCTTCAAAGTCTTGTTTCTGGTAATAGCAATTATTACTAGAGTCCATGTTTATAAAGAAATTCCATACTTCAGCCTTGGGCTAATATTGCTCTGTGATATTGCTAGACCATGAAACTTACATCCTAAAAAAGCTACAGATTTTCCTTAAAATTATCTAATAGAAAGAGCTATTTGACGTGATTATTCTGGGAGAAAGTGTGATAGATGCAATCTATTTCTCTGCGTAGCAAAGTATGGGTTAAAAAAAATAACACTTTTATTTTTAGTCACAAGTATCTAAGTTATTAGAGAAATATTTTTTTGAAATTGAGGTTTATCCGTTTCAAGTTTTCATCAAAAACAGTACTGCAATTTTCAACACATAATTAGGGGTTTTGCTAAAGTACTTAAACTTCCAAACCCTAATCATGTATCTCATTATGAGAAATGGATCAGAAAATCTGGAACACAACAGTGCTGTGGAGCTCAAAATGCTGATACCCTGTTTTGTACTCTGAGGGTGAACGAGATAATTATAGCACATGGATGTATTTCAAAGGTTTGTCTGCATGTGTCCATTTTCGGCCACATGCCAAATCCAAACAAAAGTGTATTGTTAAAGGCAACCAGAAATATTACAGTTAGCACACACTAAGGCAATTGAAATCTTTTTTCCCCCTTTTTTTCTTTTTTCTTTTTTTTTTTATGTAAAAAAAAATTAAGGTGCAGAAAGAATTTTCTTTCTTGTTCTACTGGGTGCCAAATACTGATTAACAGTGCCAAGGAAAAGTAGTTTTACATAAAAGGAAAGACTACTAAAATCTAGAAATACCTGAATTGGATCTTTGATATCCAGATTTTTCCTGATTACCTGCAAAAGGAGTTGGGGGTGGATAGTTGGCTTCTGTGAGTTTACTGATGTCTGACGGTGGTGTTGGTGGTGGCACTGGTAGCAAAGTGCTGTTAGGGCTACTAATATCTCCTTCAGCCACAAGAGTCAAGTCTGCCACATTCTCATCATCTACCATCTGTATGCCTTCGGCTTGTAACTCTCTCGACTGCCTTTTCCATACTGCTGCACTGTTTTCCTGTGCATGTGGAATTGGAGACAATGGTGGACTAAAAGGAACACTGAAAGTCTTCTGACTGTGGAGTGCTGCCAGAGCAGATTTATGTTTATTTTCTGAGTAACCCATTTTCTTAAAGGAATTTTCATTAAAGTTTTGTAAGGTCTCCTGTTTGCCACTTGGTGATGTACATCCATCATTGCCATCATTTTTTGAAACTCTCTTGTTGAGGCCCTTAGGACCTACGGGAGTAGATGAGGATGGTTCTGGTCCAGTGGGTGGTAAACGAAGAAAGTCAGGAAGAATAAGGTCTTCTTTCCTTAGCAGTCCACGTTGGTCATCTGCTCTGTTACTTTGAGCTTTGGATATGAGTTCAAAAAATTCTATTGGGGAAAAACCCAAAATTGACAAGTTTTTGTCAGAAAGTGCAATGCCATTAAAACGTAAATTTTCAGCACATTTATTATCCATGAAGATCTTCAATTCTTTCAATGCTGCCTTGAAATAAGGTCCCATGTTAATTAGGAACTTTTTCAATTGCAGCAATGTTCGCTAGCATCACTATAATTAAGACCATCAGGATTGCTATTGTAAGAGTTTTGCAGTTTAGAACAGCTGCAATTCACTGAGCCTTGAACACATCTTCTATTTTATGCAGTTAATAAATCTGTACACACACACAGGATATTTTAATTCTTTATACAAAACAAGGCTCTGGTCTTACAGACAATGGGTGCACATTTTTATATTCTGGATAATATTAATTATCCATCTCAACTCAAAAATAGCCATGCCAGTTGAACATTCAAAGATTCAGAATGTTGCAAACTTCCTTGTTATACTGAATTTCGCTCAGTTTAATTCTATTTTTTCACAGTTTGAATTCAATGCATGGTGTAGTTTTAAACCAGAATGTTATCATCACAGGGTATGATCAGATGATTGTTTCAGTAACCCCATTTTAATTGGTGCTGCAATGAATCAGTAGTGTACAAGTAGTCAATAACCATCAAAGGAGCCATTGCCAAAAGCAACGGGGCGGCTTTTTTATAGAGGTTTTAACACAATTAGAAGTGATTTTCTGATCATGTCCTTAATGATATCCAATGGTTTCATATGTTTCTATATATAAATAATACTCCATCAACACTGTTCTAGAAAGTGTCAAAACTTGGCAACAAGAAACTTATCAATTCTAAGCCAAGAATTATACCACTCCTCAAAAAAGAAGCATCACAACAATAAACAAACTCTTTGGTACAAAACATATACATATAAAAATATGTCATTCTTAATATAGGGTCTCTGCATGTCCTAATTTTTTCAAGAAGAGACCACTTAAACTACAGAATATTAAAAGATGCTTTAAAAGGCCATCTCCAACAGATGAATTAAAATCCATAGTTTCAATCCAGCTTATAAATAGTTTGAAGCAAAAGCCATTACAAAATCAAGCAACAGAATATTAGTATCAATCTTAACTTAGAATAATATGAGGTCATACACTTGCACTTGTATGACCTTATTCCTAATCCTCTATCCATATTTGGCAGGCTTTGCAATGTATTTGTAAAAATGACTTTTTAACATGCTTTGTCAAATGCCGTAAAATCTGAATGTAGCCAAGATGGAAGCTTCAAAATGCTTCTTATTGCCAAAGTTTTGCAAAATGGCAGTATGTATATTAAAACATGCAACATTTCTAAGATGTGTCATACAAAAATGGTTTGTTAGGAAATTTCAAACTTCATAGAACAGTTGGTTTTTTTTCATTAAAAAACAGTCTACAACATTGTCCGAACTTTGACAAATTTCACAAAATTCAAAATAAAATGTGAAAGCCTCGAATTCTGAAGTTTTCAAATTATGTTAATGTTTTACTCAGTCCTAGGAAGAAAAATGAAAATATTAAAAGGCAGAAAACAAGTTAACAAAATAGTTAAGCAACAGAAAATAATTTAAAATGAACTAATATTTTGTAGTAACACTTACATTAAAAAACATTTTGTAATAAAAGTTTAGCCACACTATCTTTTTCAATTCTAGTCAGTGGACATTTATTCACAGATGACCATTCACAGATAAATATTAACTTGCTATATAAATGTGCACAAC